ATACAGAGTTCTGGCATGAAACTCTAGATGGCACAGTCCGATAGGTCTAACTCAATCTGAGCTAATGACATCATCACATGGCACAGCTGATTGGTTCTCTCCTGTATCAGTAGCCAATGAGCTCGCTGCTCAACATTCAAATATATGATTAGTGCTTGTTGTAGCAGTTGCAGCTTGCTTCAGAATAGCTTAATCAACATCTAAGATAAGTGAATGCTCTTCTAATCCATATCGCTGTGTGTATTGCGTTGTCTGCCTAATTGAATTAAAAAATGAGCAACCATAATCAAGTTTAAACTAAATGTAATGTTAGCAGTTTTGCATTGTGCAGGAGTGAATATTAAGCATATTAGGAGCAGCATTTAGCATCTGTGTTTATACAGCTGAAGCAAAACGCAGTTTAGAGCATATGTAATCGCTCTGAGGACACGCCGATAGTAACGGACATGAAACAGGTTAAATGAAATAAGCATTCTTGTGTATGCATTTCAACGGGGGTTTGCCTTATACATCGGCGATTATCCCAGTGTTTACGTTCGTTATTTCTAAGGTCGATGTTTTCATTGTGATGAGTGTGTGGTTGATTTCAGCTGCACGCAGCGTCAGAAGCACGCACTTATCACAGTCATATCAGTGACAGTGTTGCGGGAGACGCTGAAGATCACTATCTACGGCTGTAACAGTTAGTTCCGAGTGAAATGGTAGCCCAGGCTCACATAGTTGTGAGTTAGACATTACACTGTGGATGTATTGGCAGTAGCAAGTCTCGGTACTTGCTCTGCCGCAACGTAGCAGATCTATTCCGCCAAGACTAAATACATTAACATTGTCATGTACATTACCATGCCAATCCCTCCCAAAAAAAAACAGGAGTGATTTTAACCTTGACTAACCCTACAAGCGTCATAAAAAGGAGAAACAGCCTGAGATTCAACTGAAGATCGGCTGATGTTGAGGATCTGATGATCATCATCCAAAACATAACCTTCAACTAAACACATACACCACCTTCACTATGTGCACACACTCACACTCACTCACACACACACACACACACACACTCACTCACTCACACACAGACACACACTCACACACACACTCACA